GAACTAGACAGGCAGGTGCTTTATTACCCTAATGGCAGAGGATCAACAAACTTTCGCATTTGAGGTGAAAACCAGAAAACTCAGGCTGTGCAGCTGGAGAATATACAGTATTTGTCTTTCTCTGTCTGACTTACTTGATTTAGCATAACGCCCTCAAGTTCCATCCATATTGTCACAAAAGACAGGATGTCTTTCTTTGTATGGCTGGATAATATTCCACTGTGTTTGTGTGTGTGCGCGCATGCACACACGTGTGTGTGTGTGTATATATATATATATGTTTATCTATCGATCCATCAATGGACACATAGGTTGTTTATATGTCACAGCTATTGTAAATAGTGCTGTAGTGAACATGGGAGTGCACATAGATATCTTTGGGACAGTGATTTCTTTGCCCTCAAATATACCCAGAAGTGGAATTGCTGGATCATATGTAGTTCTATTTTTAATTTTGGGGGGAACCTCCATACTGTTTTCCACAGTAGCCAAAACAGTTTTTATTCCCACCAACAGTGCACAAGGGTTCCCTTTTTTCCACACCCTCACCATCACTTATTTCTTGTCTTTTTGATAATAACCTTCCTAACAGGCATGAGATGATATCTCATTGTGGTCTTGATTTGCATTTCCCTGATGATTGTGATGTTGAGCACCTTTTCATGTACCTATTGGCCATTTGTATGTTTTCTTTGAAAAAATGCCTATTCAAGTCCTTTGCCCATATTTTAATCGGATTCTTTGTTTTTTTTGGTTTTGGGGAATTTTTTTTGCTATTGAGTTGTATGAGTTCCTTAGATATTTTGGATATTAACCCCTTATCAGATAATCGGATATATGGTTTGCAAATATTCTCTCTTAATCTGTAGATTGCCTTTTCATTTTGCTGATGGTTTCCAGTGCTGTGCAAAAGCTTTTAGTTTGATGTAGTCCCACTTATTTTTGCTTTTGTTGCTCATGCTTTCCGTGTCATATCCAAAAAATTCTTGCCAAGACCAGCATCAAGGAGCTTTTTCCCTGTGTTTTCTTCTGGGAGTTTTATGGTTTTAGGTCTTATGTTTAAGTCTTTTATCCATTTTAAGTTAATTTTTGTGTATAGTGTAAGATAGGGGTCCAATTTCATACTTTTGCATGTGGATATCCAGTTTTCCCAACACTATTTATTGAAAAGACTATCCTTACCCCATTAAGTATTCTTGACTACCTTGTCAATTACAAGTTGGCCGTATATGCATAGGTTTATTTCTGGGATCTCAGTTCTGTTCCATTGATCTATATGTCTGTTTTTATGGCAGTATTATACTGCTTTGATTACTATCGCTTTGTAAGGAAGTTTAAAATCAGGAAGTATGATGCCACCAGCTTTGTTCTTCTTTCTGATTATTGCATTGGCTATTTGAGATCTTTTGTGGTCTTATACAAATTTTAGGGTTTTTTTCTGTTTCTGTGAAAAATATCATTGGAATTTTTATAAAGATTGCATTCAATCTATAAACGGCTTTGGGTAGCTCAGACATTTTAGCAACATTAATTATTCTGATCCATGAACACAGGATATTTTTCCATTTATTTGTGTCTTCTTCAATTTCTTTCATCAATGTCTTAGAGTTTTCAGTGTACAGATCCTTCACATCCTTGGTTAAGTTTGTTCCTAAGTAGCTTATTATTTTGGTGCTATCATAAAAGAGGTTTTCTTTATTTCTTTTCAGATAGTTTGTTATGAGTATACAGAAATGCAACTGATTTTTGTATATTGATTTTGTATCCTGCAAATTAACTGAATTCATTTATTAGTTCTAACATTTTTTGGTGGAATCTTTAGGATTTTCTTAATGTAAGACCATCTTATCTGCAAGCACAGACATTTTTACTTCTTCCTTTAACAATTTGGATGCCTTTTCTTTTTCTTGCCTAATTGCTCTGGCTAGGACTTTCAGTACTATGTTATAAATAACAAAATACATCCCTTTCATCTTTATGCTCTGGAACTATGTTAAGGAATTGAGAACAAAAAACAAATAGTATAACAAAAGATGCCCCTGTTACTCTAATTACTTAGGAATTACAAGGATTTAGGGAGCTGTGAGTTAGGAACTGTGGATGAAGACCAAAATACATGTTTCTTATTTTTAATCGCAATATCACAGTTGTAATGGTTGCACAACTCTATAAACATACTCAAAGCCACTGAACCGTTCTTAGTGTACATGATCATTTTTACTATACACATTTTAAGTAAGTAAATTCTATAGCATGTGAATTGTAACTCAATAAAACTGTTTTTAAAAATCTGGTCTTAGAGCATATCTATGTCATTTTCAATGAGGCAACAAAAATCTGTCCACCTAAATCTCATTTAATTTGGCATGACAAAGCCACTATTAAGGAATGATAAAGTAATTAAATGAGGAGGCCACTAGACTGAGCCACCAACCCTTGGTTCTTGGGCTTAAGATAATAAGGGAATTTCAGGAAAAAAAAAAAAAAGAGAGCATGAGAATAGCCTCAGTACCCTTTAGGGTGTCTCCGGAGGGAAGCGAACTCACTGGAGGGAGATGATGGTCATCAAGACTCAGAAGGAGCAGGCTATGTAGAGAGAGCTGTCTTGAGTGGAGCCATGACTTTCAATGGAGGGCCATAGCCTGCCAAGGAAGCCCTAATGGAGGGATTGGGGGAATAAATACCCTGTCCCCACTCTCCCTCCTCCCTAGAGATTGGCTGAACTCAAGCCGAAACCAGAGGGCAGGGGAGCCAGTTGATGTAGTTCCTAAAGGTCAGCATCCCGAGGGCAGAGACCAGGGTGGAGAACGGTGGAGAAGGGTTCTGGAGAGGCAACCGAAAATACCTGGCACAGCAGCCAAATCACCAATCGACTGTGAGTTCTGAGTACAATCATTTTCAGTAAGACAAAAACTCTCCTCCCACATACCATGAGCTTCAGCAAAATGAGTTGACGAGATAGGATCCAACCCAGGGGCTCCAACTAAGAAGCAAGCGAGAGAAGCTTCAGGACGACAGTTGTGCCTCATGCCTATAGAGCATCCAGTACAGATTTTAGAGGGATGATGGAAGGTGAGGAAGAAGGGCTCCAGGCCGCAAAAAGGAACTGACAGATTTTCTTATGTGTTGAAGACTTTCGGAGAATTGCTGGACAGGTTTCTGCTGATGGGGATGAGCCCAGGGTACGTCGGTACAGAAGGTTCTTCAGCGTGGCTGGAATTAGGGTCACTGTGGGCAATAGCGGCAGATGGAACTGGGGGTAGCACAATAGTAAGGCACTTTTGTTTGCAAGTAGACAGACACATCCATATTAACTTACCTAACGGAGGGTTTCTGGTAAGAACAGACGTGCAGAGGTACCCAGAGAAAGCTGACCAACTGGGCCGCACAAAGAGGTGCCACTGAAATGTGGCGCTAGATCAGAGGAAGCTCTAGGAACCTAACAGGCAGGGTTGGGGCTCCATCTTTAATGTGCTCCGTGTGCCTGCTTCATTGCAGACTGCCCCAGCCAGCGTTCACTTTCCCTTTGCTCTCTAGAGAGCACATGGCCTCATCTCCATCTAACAGCATCCTTTCAAGTTCAGCTCGCACTAACTGCCTCATTCAAGAGAACGAGATCATCTTCCCAATGTCAGGAATTAACTATAGAGTACCAAGAGTACTCGGAGAGAAAGGCAGGCCCGGCTCACTTTTGGTACCAATCAGGCAACATCATACAGGCTGGTTACCCTTGGGTTCAGCCAGTGGGGCCTGGAGATCTTGTGTCTATTAAGGGTGGGAGGGGGCCGAGGACAGGAAGGCACAGCTGTATAGGACAAATCCCGGTTGTCTGCCGGCTTGCCCCTTCAGCAAGGAGCACGGGGCTGGGGCATTTCTATCTAACAAAGGGCTGTGGCTCATTTGGGCTTGGCTGTCCACAGGTAAGGAATGGGCCTTCAATTCCAGGGTAAGAGAATCCGTATTTAGTTGTGTAGGTAACCGTGACTAGTGACACACATACACACCCTCCCTCTGCTTTGTCCAGGCACTACAGGGTGGTTTTTGGATGCAACCTAAGCATTCTGCTTTTTCTTTCCTATAAGTGGGAAAGAATCTTACCTCAGTAGGGAGAGTTCATGTAGCCTAGGGGCAGATCTCAAGGATAAGAGAACTGTGTGAAACCTCCCAGATTCGCAAGACTATCTTCACGTAGCTAAAAATACATGTACAAGGATATGCTATCCACTCAGGGTGTGGCCTCAGGCAAATCAGAGTGGGCCCATGCCATGAGGTTAAGGGGTTACAAATACTTTTTGCTGCTGAAAAGTGAAAAGGACAAAAAGATGAAGGTGAAAAAATTTAGGAGCTGGCTGAGTAGCTAAATGGCCAAACTTGAGACCTAAGGGAGACATGTTTCCACCCTCTGGCCAATTCTCCTTGTGGGATTCTTGAAGATAGGAAGGCATAAACTACTCCTTTCACAAGCATAAACAAACCGTGGCTCCTACTACATATTCAATCACAAGAAGTGTATGGTAAACTCTGAAAACTATGTAAGTATCGCTGATTTGTATCCATTCAATAGATACCTATGAAACACACACCATGTAGAACAGTCTATAATAGAGACAGGATGGACCTTCAATTGATGTTTAATAAATAGTGATAAACTATATTCACTAAAAGAATCTTCAATTTGATTTCTAAGGAAGTACACAGCCCCTCTAACTTCTGGTTTTTCCTTTGAGAGCGAGGGTTCGGCATTTGAAATAATACTTCTGCTGCTATAAACAAGTCATTTTAGAACTGGACCAAGTTTTAGAAATTTTTATAATCTCGTCATACTCCCCCTCCCCTAATCCTATATTGCCAAGTGATTCCTGTTTATTTTGCCTCTCAGTTTTTCCAGATAAAGTAAACTGCTGACTCTGTGTGGCTCACACAAATGCCACAATTGAGCCAGGCAGGTAACAGTAACTCCAAAGGGGAGAGGAGGCGAACAAAAAATGAAAAGCCAGAAGTCCTTTCATGTTAACATTTTATTTAAACCAGTACAAGCACCATGCTTAACAGAAGACTGTCCAAAATAAACATGCAATATGAATACAGCAGACTGAAACCACAGCTTAAGAAGCTGTGCCAGTTGTTGATTTTGTTAAATGATGACAGGGAACTGTTAAAATTCATGAGACCAGATCATTAATGTTTCAAGCCTCCTGAATGAGCTTATATTGGACCATCTAAATCAGTGGGAACTGCCCTGACATGTTAGTGATCTCCAACAACATTCAAGCAATATGTATGAATGCACTATATTCCAAAAAGCAAGAAAACACAGTTTCCATCACAACCTTAATGTAGTTGTTTTAAACATTACAAGAACATGATCACTGATTTGAAATGTCAAATGGCATAACAGAAAACAAATATCTCAAGACTATTCAACTTGGGACCATGGTGTTAAAGTGGCCTTGAGGATTTACATTCTTTCAGAAATACAAAATAAGATTTGTCCAGAAATGTTTGAGACACTTCTTCACATAAGTTGTAAAGGCTCAAATTCCGTAGATTCCAGTATTATCAGCATAGTAAACAAATAGGGAAAGCAATCATACTGAGAACATTTGAATTGATAGAATACGAGTTACTCTCTACTTCCACCAAATATCAGCATTTAAACTCTTCTGAAAATATCTATTCATCACTAGTCCACATTATGGATTAATGACACTGCTCAGGTTTGAAAGTAGTCCAAACATCTTTTTAAGTATGCCTTCCTTACTATCTATATGGGTGGAGAATAATGACAGCCAAATTTAATTTGGCAATAAACTCCTCTAACTGGAAATTTTTAGGTTAAACTGTCACACCAGGATACAATTTATGGCTATGTTTGACTCCTGAAAATAGGAGATAAAAAGGGAGAGAAAAGTACTGACAAATATTTTGCTACAAAAATTATTTACTAATGACAATAAAAAATTTAGCAACACCCTCTTAAACAAGAGCATGTTCAACTGCACTAGGCATTTAGTAAACTTTTTAGAAATAGACAATTTGAACATTGATTTCAGAAGTCAATTCAACAAAAACAGTCATTCAACCAACTTTTTTCTTCACATAACTGCTTCAACACCAGAACAAAGTGAATACTATTAAAAACTCTGAGATTTTGGAATTCCAGCACAGTGACCTGAGCACAGTTTTCCTCATCTTATTTACGTTGCCACCAAAATGGTACTAAAAACATGCTGTGATTACTAGTTGGTTCTATTTTGAGAACATTAGATGCTATAGAAAACTTATGCAAGACCAACAATTTCAAAACTAATGCTGACTTAGATCACGAAGGAGGTTCCCAGGAAAAAAGCTGCTGCCAAAAAGGAAAGATTAAGATTTAAGGCTGAATAGGAATGGTTGTACCAGAAAGATATGGAAGGTAAAAATTGGAATCATGAAATCTGGAGTTATCATCTGAGAGAAGGCAGAAACAGAGATCAAATAGGAAATGTACCTGTCTCACCAAATGCACAATTTCATTAGAAGGTAATTTTATATAAAAGTCCGAGAGCCATCTAGAGCATGGGGTTTGTACATCTCCCTACAGGACAGAGGGAGTAAAAAACGTTCTGATCCCTTAACCTCAATCTATTGTCTTGCAAAACAGACGTTACTGAGAAGGCGAAGACAAGCTCAAAAAAGCATGGTGTATCACAGCCCTGTGCCCGTTAGAGAACAGGGAAACTAAGAGTTTCGTATATGGAGGTCAATATTATCTGACATTATGGAGGACTTTCAGATTAAAAAAAAGAACATAAAATGAGTAAGACAAAAGAAGGAAGGAACCTCTTTAAAAAACACATTCTCGCAGCACTAGTTTCTCTTATTGCTGCGAACCAGGTAAAACAAAATCTCATTTCCTTCATTCAAAAACATTAAAAAAACTCTCCATTCATTTAGATCACATCTGCATTTCTGCAGAACGTGTGTCATTCTTCACTATCAAAATAGCTGTTTAATTCTTCAACTTCCTGGGTGAAGCATTTTCTCTCTCTGGAAATTAGAATAAAGGATCCTTCCCATTCACTAACCAAAACAAATACCCACTCTAGCACTTACGCATCTCCAACTAACTTCCTATTCCTTCCTGTTTTCTAGATTAGTGAAGCCAAACAGTGTTGAGAACAGAAGATGCTCTATTCAATGCCACAAAAATTCCAACCATTTTTACCTTTTCTTTAAAGTTGGCACAAAAATCTCAAAAAAATGCAAAGAACATATGAATGCCAAGATAAAAGATGCCTTTGCTTGTTTTGAAATGACTAAGATATTCTTAATATAAGAATTCACTCACCAAATCTGGTTAGTCTTTAAAGTCTCAAGACATTTTGTCAAACTAATGTTAAACAGTTAGTTATATGCTTTAAAGTACACTATATAGTAGACTCCTTGCTTTATGCCAAGGATGCCATCATGTAATAAGACAGGTATCCAGTTTAGAATATCTTCTGAAATTTAGGATATAAGATGCCATTTCTATTGTGTTAATGTTATTAGCTATGGCCAAGGTTTTAAGATAAGTAATTTTTCCTACAGTACAAAACTAATCACAAACATACCCAAAATTATAACTCTCGACTGCCATATATTCACCAATGCAAGCAGATAGTTGGAATCTTAAAAATATGAAGCTGGTTTTATTACAAATTTCAGATATACACATTAGAAAATGGTTTTATTTGGACCCTTTACAAAAGTGTTAATGTCACCAAATCTGGAATACTGGCAGTGTAGTCTTAAACTAACTTTAAAGCTAACAAATCAAAGGCACAGTATTAACACATTTAAAATAATTAGTGTTCACAGGACAACATTAAGAGGTGCTTTATAAATAAAGTGTTATTAACCTAGATTCAAAACTATCTAGAGATGACACACCAGGAATGAAGCCCTTGATCAGTTACAACCCATCCATTTCTAAGACTAAGATGCTACTTTCCATAAGAAGAAAACCTAATAATCATAACTTTATTATAAAATCTAACTCCCAGACCTTAAGAACGAACAACTGATGAACAGTTTCTGGAGTTGATCAAAAAGATACAGGAAACCAAAGAAGGCAAGGAATTGATGAGAGACGTGGTTGTAATGCAGGTTACACTACAGTAAATTATTATTCCTGGCTCAAAATTGGGTCACTCAAGTCTTTTACCCAAATTAATTTCAAAGATTTGACAAGTGAGAATATGCTATTTTCATATATAAACTGCTAATATCCAATATTTGTCAAAAGGAGGCAACTTGTCTATCACAATCTAACACCCACTTTCCAATGGTGTCTGTAAATAGTAACAAATTCTGAACCGTAAGTTATAGAAATTAGTCACAAGAGTGCAAAAGTCCCTGGAGAGAAGCAGTCCACCTAACAAATACAAATATAAGGAAACACTTTACAAAGTTTCATTACTATGAAGATGATTTCCTCTTTGTTCAAACTTTGAACAAACGGAGAATTTTTCTTTACTGCAGGAAATAAACTGTAAGTAACAGTGCATTTTTAGGCATAAATAAGTATTTATGTCTGGTTCCAGTACAGTCAGGTTAATACATAAATACTTCAGAAACACAGAAGTTCACATTAGTGGAAAAATCCAAGTTTCTCACGTAACCATTCTTCAGTTAGGTCTTCGGTATTTCTTATCTCAAATACCTTAAGAAAAAAACTTATGTCATACTGATACTCCCCCAAAAAAAAAAAATCAAACAAATTATACATTTGTGTATTAAACACCAAATTCTCCCTCCTTTCATATTGTCATGACTTATCTGTGTAAATCAGATATACCTTTTGGGAGGCAGTTTACTTTTTTTAAATGTTAAGTACTCAGTTTCCAAAGTTTAGCAATCAAGAAGGCATTAAATCTACAAATATGCTAAAAAGACCAGTTCTGTAAATCCTACCCACTAAAAGAGACACCCCAAATATACATAACTAAAATCAATCTAGTTAGGAACTGGAAGAACATATAGCGGTCCTCCATAGTTGGAGGAATTATCACCTGTCGGTTGTTTTGATTAGGATGGACTCAGAGGTCCACAGCCACACATCTCTCCAGCCAGAATATGCACACACACACAGGCCCACAAAGTATAAGGGCTACAGAGAGAAAATGTAATACGATAGAAAGGATGGGCCTGGAGACCAGATGTGCATTTGAATCCTCGCTCTGCCATTTACTAGTAGGCAACCCTGGGCATGGCACTCATCCTCTGAACCTGTTTCCCCACCTACAGAAGAAGAATGCCACCATCAACCTCACAGGGTTGTGATGAGGATTCAACTGGATTATTTGTAAAAGTTACTTGTAAATTGTAAAGCCTTAATTCCAGCACTTCAGAGTGCGCCCAGGAGTAGAACAGACATGAGGCTGTGAACAGAATTCATTCTTAACCACCCAAACCCTCAGAGCAACTCCAGGGTGTACCTATGGTACAAACGAGAAAAAGTCGTGTCTACAAGTTGGTGGTGTCACTGACAATAATATGGGCTAAAGAAAAAGCAGGGGGCAATTAAGACCTCCTCTGGGTTGATAATTAAGCATCTAAGGTGAAAACACCAATGCTGTCCTTAAAATAAAACCTTAAAGGAAATATTATTTAATATCACTTCAGTAATGTAAAATTCTATTTCAAAACCTTAAATTTATGTTCTTTTTCACTTCAAACTAATATGTGGATATTAAGTAAAGTTTGAGAGCAAGTACCCCTCCTACCTTTAACCTCCAAAAATGCCATAAAATGGGGACATGTTAAATCTTAAAGCAAGGGTCTCACATAAAACAGAATGTTCTAGTGTATAAAGTTAATACTAATAAGTATTCTTAACAACTTAATTTTAGATAACTGGAAAAATACAGTTAACTGCATAATATGGAATTCCTGCACAGACTCTGGCTCCCTTAGCCTGTGGTAAAGGGCTCAGAGAAGCTTCAATGGTGACTTTTATTTATTAGAAATCACATTATGGAAGATGAAGAACTCTCAATAGATTAAATAGTTACAATGCTTTTCTAAAGCTACTTACATTCTTAATGTGATTTCTTCTAATCAAAGTAATGCCCATTCAAAAAATACACTTTTGGTTAAAGACTTCTATCATTCCATTTCCAACTAATGAAAAGCTTTGACTAATTTACTGCTCTGTTCTAAATAACTCTCACCTGCATAAAAAACACTTAAATCTTCAGATTATTTTAGTTATTGCTCTATATACTAAGGGAAAATACCGTCTCAACAAGCAGGTCAAATGTAAATACTACCTTGGTTAGTTCAGCTGTTTGCACTAGCTTATTCTTACTCCCAGCGTACATCATCTGTTGTTCAGGCTTACATCCTGGAAAAGAGAGATTAGTGTAAAAATGAGACTTAGATTTTGAAAAAGCTATGGGCTTGCACTATTTTAAAAAATGACACATTTAGGATTTCCAATGCTATCGAGTTTACAAAAACTTCAGTCAATGTGTGTGGGCTGTATTTTGAGTCTTATATTACATACTGTCTGCACAAAGAGATACAGCTAAGTTTCAAACAAATGAGTCTTAGGTCAGCAAAAATAAACGAAGCTAGACCTCTGCAGATCTTGACTTTTACAGCCTTGCAAACACTTAAAAACTTTTCAGTGTTATCTTAATTCTGACACTAAATATCAAAATCAATTTTATGGATGCCTAACACATGTAAGGTTTTGAGATGGTGGCCAGTGGGGCAGGGAGATCCGCCTTGGAAAAAAGTTACAGTCTGCTTATACGTTAAGTTAAAAACATACTGCAGTATAGTTTGTGTTAAGTAAATGATACGAATAATAAAATTTAGAGAAGAGTTCAGTGAGTAGAGACTTTACTGTGGGCTCAAACGGTGGTGGTAATAGGAGTTCTGATGACAGAAATCTTAAATACCAATAAGCCACTTTCATATCCAATGTATGCTACTCAGGGACAATTCTCAACATTATAGGCATATCATTAGTAATTACTATTTTAAAGATAAACACAAATATAAAATGATTATACACAAAGTTCACATTCTTATAAACAAAATTAAAATATAGCAGAAAATGTACTTTTGCTATTTTAAAATGTCATTACATTTCAAATTTCTTAAAATGTGTGTTTGATCTGACCTAACAATTACACTTTTGGGGATTTACCCTAAGAACGTAAGCCAATTCTGAGATGGTGCTTCATAGAAACTTATTTCTAGGGATGTGTTCAGCTGTGCATGCATGTGCACACAGACCTCGAGTGAAGTTTATTCAACACTTTTCATCTTAAAACAAGTATAAAATTTGTCTAGTATAAAAATGGCTTAATTAAATTAGTTTAGAACCAAATTTGCACTATTTAAAGAAGTTCACTTACCAACAGGACTGGAGAAAATAAAGCACAGAGGATATGAAACTCTTCCATCATCATGTTGATATTTATAACTATACACAATGAAGGTTTTTCTCAAGTTAAAGAAACTAAAATTACTCCTCTATTTGAGACGAGTACTTACCAATAAAGTTCTTAAAGAAAATACACACCTGGGAGTTAGTGAGTGGTAAATTTCTAACCTATCCATTTAGGTCACACCTTCATTATTCATTATCTTTCCACAAATTTATAAACGGGCCCCAAAGATAAGTTACAAAATCATATTATCTCACAAAAATAAATTTATTAAAAGTAGGGATTTAATATGGATTTTTTCTTTCTCAATTTTTATTATAAACAAATAAAAGGAATGTTTTAAAAAGGAAATAATTCATCCCACTAATATATCAACTTTCATTTTTCTTAGTCCAATATGTGCATACCTATTTTAACTTGGTTGTGATCATGGTGTAGAAAAAATTTTTATAAAATATGTCTTTTAAAAGTTGAACAAAGGAAATTCATAAATAAAATTCTGACCACTAAAGAAAACAAATCTTTTTTATTTTTGGTGATGAAGATTGTCCCTGAGCTAACATCTGTGTCCACCTTCCTCTATTTTGTATGCGGGATGCCACCACAGTGTGGCCTGATGAGCGGTGCACAAGTCTGCGCCCAGGCTCCGAACCAGCGAGCCCTGGGAAGTGGAGCACGCGAACCCAACCACTATGCCACGAGGCCGGCCCCTAAATCTTTTTAAAGCACTAAGAAAAGGATATCGAGGCTGTCGTTCAGGTAGTTCATCTTTAAGTTCATCTGGTGAAATGCCCTGGCACCATAAAGAAAAACAACTTTTAACACATTTTCTTCCTCATAAATCCTGAAAAGAGACACTGAGCACCCATTCTAGCGACAGGCCTAAACTCATAACCACACATCACAACATAAAATTTTATTTTACTAAATTGTACATAAGCTGAGGTTACTAAACCTTCAACCCAATGAAAGCCCACTCCGGCCCACTCAGGTTAGTTCCATTTATTAACTAAACATGGGGCTGACAGCCACAGTAGTCTCTGCTCACGTTCCAAGTGTCAAGAACACTAAGTGAGAAAAGCCAACACCTCGGAGGAAACAACGTCTGATTTAGGGGAAAAAAGTTAATTTCTTTTCACTCTAAATTAGTAACTAGTAATTTGTAACTAGTAATTAGTAACTTGTCTAATTGACAAACTAAATACTTAGGTTATAGGGTTTTAGTTTTTAATTACTGGCCAAGCAATTTAGAAGCAAGTTACAAAGTCAACTCAGTTTTTACTGGACACATTAACCCTACCTTCTACGACTTATTACACTGGATTTAATTAATTATTTAAAGAAGGTGATTCAATTAGCAAGACAGTGCATCACACGATAATTAGCACATGCTTTTCATGCATAATGAGCAGCTACTGAAAGATTTAGAACTCATTTTAGAAGTCCATGTAACTAATATAGCATCTTGGGCAATAATAATTGCTTAACTATAAAGCCGTATTTAGTTGATCAAACAAACCTCAAGCTCTTCATCCAGTACCACCAGGCGTTTATCCTTATCAATCTTCACTAAAATAAAAACATAATCTGAGTAAACCGTGATTGTAATATGACTCTGATCTACCCAACCCACAGTTTCAGCTCTTCTTATGGCATCTAAAATTAAACCATCAGAAACACAAGCATCAAACTCATTCGCAGTTTTAGTTGACAGTCTATTAGCTAGCTGTGCTTTTCAAGCAGTCAGCATTTACAAGCTTTTACCCACAATTCCAGGCACCTAATGTGCTATTTAGAACTCTATGTCAACTCCTTATATTTACTGTGTATATGAAGAACTTTGTCACTCAAATGCAACTTCCTAGATAATAAGAGAAGTCTGAAAGGGTGACTGCGATTGAGACTGGTCTATATACAATGGTGAGAACTGCAAGGGAAAAGTGCGCCAGGGGTCAGGACACAACAACCGCCAGAGTCCCAGTTTCCCCAGAGCCGGGATTTCATGGGACAGTATGATTATTCTGAGAAAGTGAATTACCAAGTAGCAGTGATATCTATATTCAAATATACGTAACATAACCCAAAGCCAAATCGAAATATGTTTAGATAATCTAGGCCTCTATTCTTTTCCATTACTCTGAAAAGTTGGTCATTTTTGATTTTGCACTAACTTCATAGTAAATCCTCTGATTCACCTTTTGTGACAAAATGGCACTGACACACACTTTCACTTTTAAGAACTGTATGCCTACGCTGGAGTCTTTATTTGTAATAGAACCAGAATTCACACGTTGTCACCATCTCATTAATTCACACCTGCCACATGCATCTCTGTTAAGCATAGTCTATAGAGTTTGACATTTTCACCCCCTCACCCTTCCTTCATCTTCCTAAATCACTACCCACATATTACCTATCACCTACAAATATAAAAGAAATCTGCATAACATCAGATACAACTCACAGTGGAAGAAACAACAAGCAAACCATTCTTTCCACTGTCAGAAGTAACACTTAAAAAGTACCCTCCATGAAACTAGAGTTCAAGTCTAGAGTTGAAATAAGACCCCAAATCATTTGAACACAGTGCTGAACTTTTACCATTTTAGGTGTAGGCAAAGGTTTCTGTTGTAGGATGAATGGCCAGACTATATTTAGTCCCCTGAGAAGTGAAAGGATGGAGCTGGATGGGTCCCTACCAACGACCAAGAAGACGGTCTTCTCCAGAGCTGGGAGGGCAGCTGAGAGAAGGACTATCAGGGAGGTGGGACACTCTACGTGCATTCTCTGATATTACTTGTTACTTATTTTTAAGTGATCTAAAGAAGGGGTTAAAAGAGGAGGAGCAAATTACTTCTAAACGTTCTAACATTTATTCAATATAACTGTAAGATAAAAACAAACTAAGACCACGTAACTGAGCCAATCATTTAGCTTACTTATAATGGCAGCATTGTTCGTTTCTTTGCGAAAACGAAACTTTCTCAGCTTTTCCACTAGATCTTCAGCGACATCACAAACCACCAAAGACTCACTCTAGAAAAGAAAATTTAAAAATCACATATAAAATGCCATGACTTCAATATATGTACAAATTATAAAACCTAATACCTTTAGAAAGGTACACTGACATCTATAAATGTCACAGTTACGTGCGAGCATTAACATGAAACACATGCACACTTAAAGAGCTTTTAAATCTACCAACCATTATATCTACACTGTTTAATGATACACATTTGTTCATCTTATATGTAGGGTATACCTTCTCTTTGGCTAATAAATATTTCAAAGAAGGAGACACAGAAAACGTGCAGTTTCATGAGAACTGGAGAGAAAGGGAAGATATAGGAACAGACAAGGATCACTGTTTATTAGAAAGCATATTTTTACACAATGTAGGAAGAACAGAAGAATTATCGAATTATATTCAGAACTAATAAGACCTTGGTTCATTTTTGGGTCTCATAACTATGGAAAACAGTACAAGTTGGGCCAGCCTGGTGGCACAGCAGTTAAGTGCACACATTCAGCTTCGGCGGCCTGGGGTCTGCCAGTTCAGATCACCAGTGCAGACGTGGCACCACTTGTCAAGCCATGCTGTGGTAGGTGTCCCACATATAAACTAGAGGAAGATGGGCACAGATGCAAGCTCAGGGCCAATCTTCCTCAGCAAAAAGAGGAGGGTTGGCGGCAGATATTAGCTCAGGGCTAATCTTCCTCAAAAACAAAAACAAAAATTAAATAAATAAATAAAAACTATATAGTTTAAAAAAAGTACAAATAAATGAAAGTATGAAAAACAAACTAAAGAATTAAGAGCACTAACATTTTATATCTTAATTAAATGACTACGGGGATTAAAAAAAAGGAGCTATCAAGAATTATGAAGACAAAACCAGATAAAACAATTATAAAAACTAAAAGAATCTTTTACAAATTATGAAAAAATATTAGAGACTCGTCCCCAGAAATCTGGCAAGGAAATGATCAAAGGCACTCTTTTTTTCCAGTGGTGCAAATGTATTACTGATTGCAAGCAAGAGGATGGAAATCTCTTTTTCTTATTTTTTTAATGTGTAAAACTTTAAACACAAATGTAGAGAATAGTACAGTAATACCCTATCACTCAGCATCAACTATTATCAACACATAGCCAATCTTATTTCATCCAACACCCTCAAAACTGCCCCATGGACTGTCACACAACAAGGGCCAGAAATCATTTCAACTGAAAATATTTTAGTATGCATCGTTAAAATGACAGTATGTGCCATTAAAAATATAAGGACAATAACATCTCACCTAAAAAAACTAACAATTCCAGTCTCAAATATTCAAACAGAGCTCAAACTTCCCTCACCGTTTTATTTAATTAATTTATTTTTACAGTTGGTTTGACTGAGTCAGGTTCCAAACATGGTACACATTCTTTGGTCTCTTCATATATATGTTTCCCTCTCCTTTTTCAAGAAAATTAGAACAGTTCTGAGACCAATGCTAATAAATATGTTTCATTATAACCCAAAAGGATTAAGGCTTCCAGTCTTATGTTAAAATAAAAATTTAATAAAAGACTGCTTTTTTGACCCTGTGTTGGGTTAATGAGAGCATATATTAAAGTAGGAAACAGCCATCAATTTTAAATTGTCCTTTAAATTCAGAACACTGGTAATATTTAAGGTGCGAGATACCATAGGATATGCTATTATACAAATAGGAAGTACATCCCACCAATAGGTTCTATCCAAAAAATAAGCCTCCTATAGGAGTCCAGCACATCTATCCTTTTAGTTTTCTTTAAAGAAAGACATGTTAAGTCATATGGAGCTTCCTGAAGCTAGAATTCAACCCTAGTCCATTTTTTCTATCTTTCAAAAAAGACAGAAGTTAGAAAACTAGAATTTCCATTGTGTCTTTGAAGAAAGGTATAACATATTAGTGAAACTAATAAATATTTTAGATTTCTTTTTAGGCCAAGACCTATCATGAAAGTCTTATCTCACAGCTCTGAGTATCACAGCTGAGTATCGTGCAATCCTGACATACTAAGAATCAGAAACTAAGTGAAAAATATGCTGATTTAACTTATACAGCTCTTTTTTTGCATTTTCACCCCTCCCAATACCATAATAAAGCCAAAAATTCCTCCCTACAAGAAAAGGGACTCAGGCTCAGCCAACTCTATAATTGCATACAGTTAGTAGAAACATTTAAGAATGAGTATAGCACCCTGAAAACAACTCTATAAGCTAAATGTTAAGACACAGAGTTAAGTGGAGAGTTGAGCTCAAGTGTTCATTTACTGGTATGTCCATACCATGAACATTTAATGAGCCTCAACACCATGCTAAGCGCTAAAAATACAATCAGATAAAATAAACAAACAAATACAGGCCTGCCCTCAAGGAGCTTATAGAGAACAGACCTACATCAAAAGGATTAGGCAAAAAAAAAATGTACACTTGTACCTGTGGTAAGAGCTGGGAAGGAGAGACACAAGATGCTATAAGAACTTACGACTAGTGAAGCACGGCATGGTCACAGGAGGCATCCCTGGAAAAGGCATCTTAAGGCACCAAAATTGCCTGTGCAAAGATCCTTTGACTAAAGTGAGCACAGCACATCCAAGATAATGAAAGGGTAGTGTGACTCAAGCACAGAGAATAAGCAGGAACATGGTACAACAGGGGGATGGCAGGGGCTGGACCACATAGGGCCCGGTGGGTCATATTAAGTATTTTAATCTCTAGCCTATGAGCAAAAGAAAGCCACTAAAGTGTTTTATACAGGGTGCTCATGAGAAACATGAGTCCAAGTGAGATATGCAAAGTAGCTTAGACAGGTTGATGAGGATAAACAGAAACAGGTGAATACCGCTAGTAATAGCTAACATGTACTAAACACTATGAGAGAAACACTGTGCTATGTCCTTTTCACAGATTACCCTTCAGCCTCAAACAATCCCATAAGATGGAAACTATTATCCCTATTTTGCAAGAAACTAAGGCTTAGAGAAGTTAGTATCCTGCCCGAATTTATGCAACTTGTGGAGCCAAGATTCAAACTAGGCAGCCTGACCTCGAGCCCACTCTCTTAATCACTACAAAGGAGCTGGCAACAGATTGGATACCGGGAGAGGGGTAGGTGGGTTAGGAAAAAGGGTTACCAAGATGACTCCTAGGCTTTTCATCTGTGTAACAGACTAAACAGTGTTGACTTTCCCTAAATTAAGGAACACTGAGGAAGACTAGCTTTGAGAGGAAAGAGCATGAGTTCTATTTTGTACAAACTGAGGTGGCTTAAGCCACCCAAGTGGAGAAAAGCTTCCCAGGGGATGTTAACTAAGTGGTGGAAATACAGACCTGAAGTGGATCTCAGAAGCAAGGTCGCTGATACAAATTCACACGTCATCTGCGTACAGATAGGTGGGAATTGAAGCTATGAGTGTAAGAAAGGATGGAGGGGAAAATATAGAATGGAAAACGAAGGATTAGGATGGAGTTTAGGACTCCTACGTGCGATGTCCAGGGAAGAAGAGTCTGCACAGGACACGGACGGACCAACGGGAGGAGGAGGGAAACCAAGGAGTTTGTACCTCAGAAGCCAAGGAGAAAGCATGAGGAAAGAGAATGCTCCAAAAAGCAGAGCGGTCCACACCCCGAAATGCAGCGGAAAGGTCAGGACAGATGAGAACTGAAGAGAGTCGCTTGGATTTAGTGACCATGACAAGCTCTATTCGATGGACATGGGTTGACAAACGAGTAGGAGATCAGAAATAAGACAGGGTAGGGTGGGACTTGTGTTTTGCTTCTAATTAAGGAAACCAGCGTATTTAAAAACCCTATGGGAAAAATCTAGCAGATCCTTCTTGGGGAATTGATTTAATTCTCCACTTTATTTTTGAGCGTGGGGGTCCAACCCATAAGACAACGGAAGCTAAAGCCCCCAGACCAAGCAAAACTAATGCTTTTGACCGTCACCTTAAGGCCAGGCGCCAAGCCAAAGCCTTGGGTCAAAAGGTTTCCAACCGCCGTAACTCGAACAAAGCAAGGATGAGGAGAAATCCTTAGCGCCAGGCGGGGAAGGAGGAGACAGAAGCTAAGGCCACGACGAGAGCGCGGAGTCTGAATTCGCGCCCTCCCCGCAGGGGCCACCAGGCGGAAAGCGCTGGGCGCTTGGGGCCCGGCCGCGGCCCTGGCAGAGAACGCGGCGTCCGGGGCAGCCCTCCGTTCGCCAGAGCAGCGGCCCCCCCGACCCTTCGCTCCGGAGCTGGAACCTCCACCCAGAAGGCCCGGCGAGGACACGCACCCCCGCAGGCCGCAGCCTGGTCCAGGGCCCCTGCGCGGTAGACCCCGGGCCGCCCGGAGGACGCTGGCTGTGGGCACTGACCGGCAGCCGGAGCGGAAGCGGCCGCCGACCCACCCCGGGCGCCGCCGCCACCGGCCGGCTCCGGCAGACAGGAAAGCCTGGCGGGCTAACCCAGCCCTCTGGCCCCCGCCCTCCCCGGCAGCCGCTCACCATTTTCCTTCCGGCCGTCGGCAGCCTCTCTCCTTCCCGCTGGCCCCTTTAAGAATGGCACCGCGGCGCCTCCCTTCCGGCCCGGCGCCTGGCAGAGCCGCCCCCGCCGCGCCCCGCGCCGCGGCGCCGGCACGTGACGGCGGACGGCGGGAGGCGCGGCTCAAACTTCGGCGGAACGCGAGCGCCTGCCTGCTCCCTCCAGGGTGTGCTCTCTCTGACCCGGAGCGGACAGCTGTGGCAACGTGCACTCTTAAAATTCCAGCCAGCTCTTGCTTCCTTATAACTTTCCTCAAACTTGAGGAATTTCATGGGGACGTGATTAAGTGAGCGATTTCATGGGGCAAATATGTGCGTTGGCCTCAAACCTGGACACCCCTGCCTTTCCCCCGACCCCCACCGCCTTCCAGGCCTTGGTTGATACATTTCTTTTCCCGATGGTACTTGTTTACTGAAGTGCGGTTTATGTTCAGATGAATGCTCTCATGAGCCACTGCCTAATCGAGCATTATTAAGAAGCTTCTGTAGGAGGTGCAGATTTACTGGAACAAGTTTACTTTTGAATGTGGGGAGGAAAGTGATTTGGAAGACGTAAAGAGTGAGCTCTGTAATTCATACAGGTGTCTTCAATAAAAGAAGCTGCCTAGGGCAGGATCTCACGGTGTTTACAGCTTATCCCGAACTGCTAGCATGTGTCTGGTCCACAATAGGTGCTCAGTTAGTATTGCTGAATGAGTGAAAGAACCGAAGAAAAAGAAAATTCCAGATCTTGCTCCCGCTGCCATCCTTCTTCATTAGTATTAGACCGAATTATTAGCATTTTTAAAGTTTGTAGTTAAATGTAATGGAGGGTTAGCATGTTAATAAATAACATTAAATTAGGGTCCAAATAATATAAACTAATTTGATAGAATACCTACGTTTTCTCATAAATTAAAAAAATAAAAGTATTAGCTATAAGAAATTCCACAGCTCAACTACATTCTCATAGTGATTTGCTCCCATAATAGTTTTTACTATGAGAAGGGAACTGGTAAGTTTGACACATAGTACTGTGTAAGAAATGGAGAGAAACTGATTGGTACTGGGCCATGAGCAATTGTATTTGACTTTAGCATACATTGTCCCCCCACCCCCATTTTTCCCATCTCCTCTATCCATCTATGGGAGGCATTAGAGAAAAAAGTGAGAAAATTAACGTTTGGCTACATGACATCACACCTGATAAACAGTAAATCCATTGCTTTTCCCTTTTATTCTGTTCTTTTAATGTTTCTCAAATGTTATTGGCTATCAAATAGGCTGGCCTCATATCAGACCAAAGAGAGGCTGGGCAGGGTGGTGAACTGACAAGAAAGGACACTAATGAAAATGTGATTTATTTTATTATATGGGGGTGTAAAATGAATATAGACCGTGTACAGAAATTTTATTCAAACTCAGTCTATAGAATATGTTTTTAACCAGAAAAAAACTACTATATCTATTTTAAATGAGGTTTGGGAATGCCATTCTGGCTTGGGTTATTCAGGGAGAAAAGTTCCAGAATGTTTTCCAGCACTTTTCTGCCTGGCTAGCCCCTATAAAAAACTCAAGAACCTATCAATACTAAGCTGTGTTGAAGTCACTGAAATATGTTTTATCTCAGGGAAGAATTTGACATCAAGACGTGATCAGAGTCGACAGGAAAGAAGTATTCTAATTAAAAATTAAGATCAGAATTAGAATAATCTTTTCTCGTCTAATCCATTCTCTGTGTTAGCCTTGCTAAAGTAAATTTGTATTAGTTACATATTCGCACGCATGCATTCATTCAACAAAGAGTTATTGAAGGCCCATTGTGTATGGCTGTGTCCTGGGTGCGAAGTTCCAAAACAGACTAAAATCCTTGCCATCCTGGAACCCACGTTCTAAGAGGGAGGACAATAACCGTAGTAAATTAGTGAACCTTAGTGTTAGAAGGTGATTATTGCTGGGGGAAAGAATAGGGGAAGGGAGATTGGGAGTGCAGAGGATCCGAGATTTGTGATTTCAAGATTGGCAGCTGAGCTAACAACTGTTGCCAATCTTTTTTTTTTTCCCCTGCTTTTTCTCCCCAAAGCCCCCCAGTACATAGCTGTATATTTTAGTTGTGGGTCCTTCAAGTTGTGGCATGTGGGACGCCACCTCAGCGTGGCCTGATGAGCAGTGCCCTGTCCATGCCCAGGATCTGAACCAGCGAAATCCTGGGCCGCCGAAGCGGAGCACGCAAACTTAACCACTCGGCCACAGGGCCGGCCCCTGTGATTTTAAATAGGGTAGTTGTCCTAGTCCTCACTGTGAAGGTCGTGTCTGAACAAAGGTTTGAAGCTCCGGGGTTAGTCACGTGGATGTCCGCAGGAACACCTCACACAGGGGGAACAGCACTGCTAAAGCCCTGAGGCAAAAGCATGCATATTGTTTCAGAGACAAAAAAGCAGTCAAATGACTGGAGTGGATGAGCTGGAGTGAGTTGTACATGAAATCATAGAGGGGTTGGAGGGCTGGATCCTGTATAGCCTTGTAAATGATTGGGATGGCTGATCCCACAACACCCAACCCTGGACAGGTCAGATTGACAGCAGCTTATTAGTCACATATACTCACAGCCTAGGGGAGGAGGACACCAGGCAGAGCCACATAGGGGCTGTACTTGGCAACAGAGGGAACTACCAGAGGCTGTGGGAGGCAGGCTTTGTAGCATCGAGAGGATGTCCCCTGGGTCCCGCAGGAGGATATGGCTGCCTTATTTGAATAACTCCACAGGCTGGCAGGGAACTGAAACCAGCTGCTCATGGATAAGCAGGCACTCTGCCTGGTCCCCATAATAAGGAGGGACTTTATCCTTGGCAGCAGAGTGGGGAGAGGAACCTGCACTTAGGTCATTCCCAATTTCACCAGAGGTCAAGGCAACACATAATAGCAGACCTTAATTTTAGGCCTTACACAGCAGGAAGTCAAATCTTGAAGAATGTCTGGTATGGCACTGATGAGTTTTCTAGTTCTTTCTCCTCCTTTACTGCCTGACAGGAGAGCAGGCTGAATCAGAGAAGCAGGGAGAGCAGAGCCTCCAAGAGAAGCCGTTTCTTTCAGCCAGGGTGTGGGGAAAAGGGGCCCCTGGGAACAGGAGAGTGGGGAAGGAATCTCCCCCTTTTCCTTTTTTCTCTCCTAGCCCTGCCCTGAGGGCAACAGCAATCATGCTGACACAGTCACAGCAGGGAAGACGCACAGGTACCTAAAACCCTGAGAGGAAATCCATCTCTGCACAGAGGAATTTGGAGAAGGGGCCCCTGCTGTGCAAAGGCTGAAGGAGCTATCCCAGTTATTTTTTCCTCTCCTTTTCTCTTGTCACTTCCCCTGCAGGACAGGCTCGGGCACACAGAACTGCACAGCAGTGCAGAGGGCTAATCCTCTGAGAGATCCCCATCTTTCAGATGAACAGGGAAAAGGGGCCTCTGGGAGCCAGAGGGGCAGGAGAAATCCTGAAGAGGAGAGACAGGAACTGACGCGGGCACATACCCGAGTCCACCTGTGCAGAACACACCCACAGAAGCAGAGCAGAGACTTAGAGAACTTAACGACCATCTAAGCACTGCCGGGACTCACGTTAACCCCAGAGTGGCTCCTGTGAGGGACAAACCCAAACAGCATAGTAAAGACTTGAAAACTGAGCTGCCATTCTGTATCTTGATTGTGGTGCTGTTCTGTGACCTCTATACATTTGTTAAAACTCGTAGAACTATACCCCAGACATGATGAATTTTACTGTATATAAATTAAAAATCAAATTTTTAAAAAGTACAAGAAAAGAAGGAATTGACCGTGAGGGGTAGGGGCAGAAGTAAGGAAACCATTTAGGAGGCTATGGCAGTAATCAGGGAAGACATGGGCCGGACCAAACTGGAACCAGTGATTTGGTGAGAAGTGCCCAGTGCCATTAGAATTATCTGTATCAGGGTTTCTCAACTTCAGCCACATTGACTTTTGGAGTCAGACAATTGTCTGTTGTGAGTGGGCTGTGCTGTACATCATAGGGTGTCTAGCAGCATCCCTGGCCTCTACTCATTAGAGGCTAGTAGCACCTCCCCAGCTGCGACAACTAAAAATCTGTCTAGACATTGTCAAATGTTGCCAGGGTGAAGGTGGGAAGGTGGGGGCTGGGACTCACCCCCAGTGTTGTAGATGAATGTCCTAAGCTTTGGGCCACAAACTAAGTACCTCATTAATCATTAGTGTCAGCTCATTTGGAGCATGCTTCAAGTAGCCTCCTGCCATGTAGTGCATATAGATGACAGAAGCCCTATGTCTAAGACCAGGAGAGTGTTCTCCAGAGGGACTTGGAAGTTCAATGGGCTACAAAGGGTTAAGCTGTTAGGTTTTACCAAGGTACTAAAAGATTGTTCACAATTCCTGTGATGTATGGGATCATACCCAAATAGCACATTCATTCAATTGTATTGTGCACTGATTGTTTCAGTTTGAAACTCAAAGTTATAATGCTTATTATATTCCTATTGGTGTCTCCAAAACAGAGATAAATTTGCCTTTCCAGGAAACAACGTGGGATATAGGAAGGTGATATAAAATGAATGAAAGAGTTGGCAGCTCCAAGAAAAATATTTAAGGGAGATAATTTTTAAAAACATGTTAATATTTTTTGCATTTCTCTTATGAGACTTTCTCCTTGGTCAGTCAGAAGCTGCTATCAGCCTCAAAGGATAAATAGAACTGTAATGTCAGGAATGCAAAAGAAAGAAAGCAGCTTTTGACTACCAAAATAGGATTTTTGAATCCCAAGAAACACAGTAGTCTTGAAAAAGCCAGACTAAGAGAGAAAGGTTTTATAAAATTTTAAAGTTCCATTAACATCTCAAAATGCAGACCTTGGCAAAATTAAAAGTGGCATTTAATATATACCATATGATAGAGAAACTGAGGCTATGACATAAGGAAAAGACCTGCCAACTGAGAAGGCGGGAAAGTCTTTGCCTTCTGATCTGGGGGAGCATTGAAAGAAGGGGCTCAAGTGAGTGCGGCAGGCAATCATCCCCAACCTGTGCTGGGGCGTCTCAGAACGGGCAGGCGGGGGTTGCAGGAAAGCATCCGGAGAGCTGTGGTATCAGAGAACCTG